AGTCCATGTCACTGTTAATTAACCTTAAAAACATGACAATTCCTCTATAATCAGAGAATGATACTACAGTCTTTTTATCCACTGTTGGTTCTAACTTCTAAATTTGTTTTATAAAATAGCAAAATAATTTAGTAAGTCACATGGAAACTTGAATAATCAAAGTGGAAATTATTTGACCAGTAACTAAATATTGGCCATTAACTGCTGGTAATGATTAATGTGCTAGGCAAATTATTACTGATTGTAATTCCAATGTGTCTGTTCATTTCTACTATAAAATTCAAGCTTTTGAAGGAAATGAAGGATCAAATCCAGAAGTATGTAAAATAATAATCTACGGGACTATAAACTTTACTTAAATAATTTAAATGTTCCTTTCTCTTCAAGGAAATGTTATTGTGCATATTATTATTGTGCAACTCTTACCATGCATCAAGGTATTGGACATATTGCTCTCACTTTTCTTTTTTTTTTTTTTTTTAAACTGTGCTTCTATAAAGCAAAGTAATAACCCATATTTTTGTTTTTGACCACATAGATTAAACAAATTATAGGGATTATGACAACATTAAGATTTTTGTCCAAGTCATGAAGGCAGCTGAATTGACAAAGGCAATAAGCAGTCATACTGGCTGGGAGCAACCCAATTTTTAAATTTCTTTTTGATGTGCTCTTGAAATGTGCATGAAGACTGAAAACTCTGTATGCAGATGCGCTTCCCTACAGTAGTCAATCTAATCTTTCTTTGATGCATTTTATAGGATTATCTATTGGCTTTGTATCAAAAGGATACTGAAGGAGTTGATGTTGTGTAGCAGCATACAATGACATGCACTAAGTGTATGCCATCTGTAAAGTTCTTCACAGTATTGCTTATGGATATTCCAAAAATATGTCTACTTTAACAGGTATTCTTTAAGAGGAACTGTAGAAGCTGTGAAAGAAAAGACCAGAAGTCAGCCCAAGGCCTTTGAGCAGCTAGATACAGAGGACACAGTGAAAAAATCCAGCCCTCTTCCTGGTAAAATAATGGGGTGAGTGCAGTAGAGGAACTACTTTGTTTTCTTCCCATTAGTTAAGTACTGGGAGCTTTTTGGGGCAAAACCCTAGCTCTTAAGTTTCCCACTGTTTTTTTCTTTATGTACTATAGGTAATACATATAGCCCATACTAAAAAATACTAATATTAGACTCATCTAGGTATTATGTGTGAGTGTGCTGCTTATTGTGGCAAAAGCTAAACTGATCCAGTTAACAGCTGCAGTTGCTTGATATTAGTAATTCTCAGTGCTATTATACCAAAGCAACTACAACTATGGCATTTTAGCTAAAAAAAGAAGGAAAGGAACAGTATTTAAAATGAAGGCTTAATATTTGTAGAATGTAAAACAACATCAAAGAGCTGCTCAAATCATCATAAATTCTGCAGTAGTCTGATACATTAGACTGTATTGTCTGTTTCAGATGCTCCCAACAACCTTTAAAACAATTGCATGATCTCTTTATGTAACCTTCCCACATGAAATTTATTTCTGCAAACAGCTCTTGAGTATCAGATAAGGAGATGAAAGTCCTTTGATGACCAATTTAGAGAAGAATAATTTATGGTTTGCTACCAATTGTGGAAATTCACACAAGATACTTGTAATTTCTTAAATTGTTAATAGCAACTTTAAACTGATGGCGAGCCTCCAGTTCCTTCCAAAATTAGACTAGTTTTGAATTGCGAGTGCCAAAAATTGAGTACTTTTTATTTCAGTATTACTAAAGAATGGCTCAGTGGACCTTCTATTAAGTTGACCTGATCCCTCTCCTGAGGATGAGGGAAGGAGTGTTATCTTTTGAAGACAGTAACAATGGAGAAGGTCAGGACTTCATGAGATAATATTTTTCAGACCATAAAATGAAAAACTGATTGAAACCATTTGTAACGTTAAATTATGCCTAATGTATTTATTGAATTCTGTTATGCTGAGGTTAAGCTGCATCTTTGCAGAACATTTACCAAAACAAAACTTCAGATGAGAATCTTAATTTATGTAAAGCCAAACCAAAACAACCAACCTCTCTCCCAAATTATAATATGCATAATATATTTATTCTGATACTAGTAAATTCTAAAGTGATCATTGAAGTCATTCCATCAACTCTGTCCTTCCCAAAAATGTTGAGCGGGAATGAAGAGTGCTAACAAATGAAGTAGATATATACATCACTAATCCATACAGATCAGCTCTCCTTGAAATGTAAATTCCAGAAAGAGACCTGCATTTTCAAAGATGCATACAGCTTCTGCCAACTGGTGTTCCTGCATTCAACTGATTTAAAGATTAGCTGTAAACTTCAGAGAAGAAAGAGAAAGATTTGATGCCTGCAAGCATAAATATAGAAAGACATTAGAATTTTTTAATTTTTTTTTTTTTTGCAAGCCTATGAAATTGAATGCGACATATAGCCATCTAAACTCTTCAGTTACTGGCAACTACATGAAACCTTTGTTAAAGTATACATTCTTTTCAAATTAGATTCTTGAAAAAAAAAAAAAGAGAAAATGACCTTATTCATATTCAATACTATTAAATGGAATCATCATTGAAAAGAAGGAAAACCAGAAGAATATGGGAAGTTTTGGAATGTGTAAGAAACAGAAAGCAATGCTGAAAGAAAAACTACAATCTATGATATAAACTGCTGGTATGCTGCTACCTTCAAGACTGTATTTCTGAAATTAGTGGACTGGAATGAGTTTCATTCATCACTGAGATTGCATTGGTCAGAAAGAACAGGTTGTGTTAAACAGTACAGGGAATCTGGATTTGGGGCTTCTGTGATCAGATAAAAATATTGTGGCCACAAAATACAAAGTGTTGGTCCAATATAAAATCACCCTGCTGATTCAGAGTTCAGAATTTTCTGGGTTAACACAAGAAGGTATTGTTAGACTACACAACTGCAATTATTACAGTTTAGCTATTCAATGTCCTTGTAGAGATGGTATAGGGCCAGCATAAATATCCTGTTCTTCCCCCACTTGGTTCAGCTCAACTTTGTACTTCTGAGTAGTACCCAGATCTGATCAATATTAATGATAAGAAGCCACAATATCTAAAAAGGTGGAAGGAGTAAATAACAATTTTGGCCATCTGTAGAAATCAGAGTTGTAGTAAATAATTATACTTCAGAAAGATAATTTCAGAAGTGAATTATATGCTAATGAAAAATAAACATAGTTTTCTCTCATATATGCACATACAAAAAGCAGAAAAGGTAAAGAGTAAGACTTAATATATTATTTTTAAGATTTTGTGGTTTTGAGGGAATATTTGATGAAGACTATTTCCACACAATCTGGCTGGGTCTGACTCTGTCCGGCTTCATTGGAATATTGCTACGTGCCTAATATCTGAGTAGCCCCCTCATAAAGTATTAGTGCTGTAATACATACCTTTTAGCCTCTGAAGTGGAAGACTGAATCCCACATTAGGAACATATACTCCTGTAGGCTGCACAGTGGCTTAGACAGAAGGACACAGATTCAGGATTCTCAACAGGGTTTTGGTGGAGTTTGATGCTGCGATGCTCAGAGTGGGCCCACACAACTACAGCTCACCAGTGTCCTGAGAAGCTTAAAGAGGACTGCACCTAATGAGTGCTTCTACTATGGGGTGCACCAGAAGTTCTGGATTGCAAGGTACCAGGTCAAACAACATCTGCATCTGTCGTTCTGTCTGGCACCATCTTTAACATTTCAAGTTGATTTTCTTCTTTGGTATTGATATATAATAAAATGTTTACATGAAAAAGAACAGGCCAGCACAATACTGTCAAACAAAAAAAAAATTAAAAATAAAAAAACCCCTATTGCAGGGGTGTGGTTTTTACATATAATCTGAGTATGTCATGCTTAGCATATTGAACACTGTGTCTGAGATATACAGTATAACAAGATGTTATTTTAACTTTGAGTACATCCCATGATTTGCATTGGAAATGACAAAATAAGAATACTCCATGCTTTGGAGGGCAAGCAAGTAAAATTTTTTTAACAAGAATCGGAGTGCTAAGGGAGAGATGTAAACTAAAGCCAGGAGAGCAACAGAGTAACTAGTCACAGAATACAAACATGAGTAATATGGTAGCACTAATGAACAGCTTTTCCATTCAAGAGCAAAGTGACATAATTTATATAATCATATATTTGTACAGTTGCTGATATTAGTAATTTTTTTGCATGATTTTTTTTTGTTTTAGTGTGTAGAATAACAGTGTAAATTGAGGTTACCTGGGATCATTTAATTTCTTTACATTCAGAACTCTCATTTAAAGCTTCTTCGAACAGTTCATATTCTTTGTTTGGAGATTTTTTTCCCCCAAACCCAAGATAGTAAGAGTGTGGTTTAATACTAACAATATACACACAGAGAGCTTCTAGTTCACCTACTCAAAATCATAGGTGAAATAGATTCATTTTATTATTAATTAAGAACTTCAGTATATTAACAGAGGATGAATTATTTATTGAAGCCACTATGTATGCCCCTGTTTTAACATACAATTTAGGTTATTGTATGAAAAAATCTAGAAATCAACGCCACTGTCATTGTGCGTGATATAAAAAATACTACCAACAAAAAAACCCAGAACAGTTAGAATAATACCATTTCAAATATTTACATGTTTACACTGTTAGAAGCATTCATTTTTCCAAAACAGCACGAATCTTGTAACAGAGACATATCTGAAGTCAGTCTGCGGAAGTTAATGTATTTGCATGATGGGAGAAAGAAGATCAGAATACAACTCACACTAATCATACAAGTTTGTGAAGCTTATTTTTCCCAACACAAAGGTACCGTTTCAATGAGTTAACAGATATGTTATTCCAATGAAGCACATAACCAGTATGTTAAGTTCTCATAATACAAATCTCTACATTTTAGAAAGATACAGTTGAAAGAGTTTGTTTCAGGCCCTTTTTAAGAAACATTGATTCCAAAGGCATTAATGCCAGTCAAAGGAATGATTAACCATTCTGTAAAATTTTGCATTGTGCTCTCTGAAGTAAGAATACAGTTGCTCTAAAACAGTGTTGTTAACAAGAGGATGAGGGCGGCCTTTGGATTCATGTAAACATCTCTCCCTTCCATCACTTCTAATGCAGTAGAATCCCTTGGTTTGGTTAAAATAAAAATTAGAAGACATAATTCGGGAAGGAAGATTTAGAAATCTTTCAACCTTTTGTAATTCAGGAAGAGGATCCTTGATTAAAGTATTGCCATCCACTATGTGAATCTGATCCAAACTGAAATGCTTAAGCCACTTTTCCATATGAACATCATATAGACTTCTCTGAATAGCTTTGTATTTGGTATTAAGTGCTCCGTTCTTAATCACAATATCTTCAAAAAGCTGAACAGGCTTGTGGCTTTCTACTCTGTTGTAATATACTTGGGTATAGTCAGATATAACTCTCTCAGTGGGATCTCTTAGAATGAGCAGCAGTTTAATGGAGCTATTCATGTCATGAATTCTTTCTGGAGCCTGTGGTGATGTAAAATAGCCTGGTGTTTTCTCAATTGTAATTTGATTTCCATAAGAAAATGGCATCAGACTTCTATACCAGTCTATTCCTTTCACATAATTTTCATCCCAGTCAAAGAAGTGGACTTCTGTAGCTGCTACCACAATATTAGGATGAATATCCAACATTTCCAGCAAAGCCCTTGTCCCTCCTTTACGAACTCCTATGATGATTGTCTGAGGTATTTGTCGACTTGTGCCAGGAGGTCTCACCTGTGCTGAATAGTGTTCACTTTTATTGCTGAATAATCCTACTTGTGACTTCAGTGTTTCTAACAGTGCCCCATTCTCAACAGGAGCACCCTGAGCATGAGTCAGCAGAAGATAAGACGACACTAGTAGGAAGGCCATGTGGAGAGAAATAATTAGTTCAAGATAATGTTATGCTCAACTAATGAAAGACTAGGTAAGTTCCCTCTCGAGTTGGTTGGCAGAACCCGTGGTAAACACACAGCAAGTTTCTGACGCATCTACAAAATAAAATAAGACAAGTCAGTATTTCTAAACTCATCACCAGTTGGAAATTCAACTCACAAATCTAATCTGTGATCACAACAGAAAATGTATGCCAAAGTTATTTGTTTTCCCTGACTTTATTTCAGAAGAACAAAAAAACCCCAATGTGTTTTTTTTCCTTAACCATAGATGACCAATGGTCGTTTCTAAACCTTCAACAGTTTTTATCTCTTTTAAGCAGAACATTAGGATTGTTTACCTGATTTTAAATTCCTGACCGTTATTTGCTTGCTCTGATTTCCCTAGTTCTCTTCCATATATACCATACCCAATATGATATTAATAATAATTCCAAAGCACTTTTGAATGTCAATGCCTTTCCCCAAATTCCCTGCTAGAATAGTATATCCTAATCTAAATAATAGTACTGGATAGTGGTGCATACATTTGGTTTCCAGTGACCTATGGATCATACCAAAAAAGTTCTTTTACTTAGACACAGAAAACAAAGCACAGATAGAGGCAAAATTTTGGAATCGGAGCCCTTTAGAGCAGAAAACAGTGTGGCAAAGCAAGAGTGAGATGTTTGAGCTGGATCAGAGTGGAAAAAATAAATGAGATGGGGTGTTTCTTTGCAACTATCCAGGTGTTGTGAAGTGTAGTCATGTTAAACGTTGGGAAAATCTTGGCAAAACCAGATCTTCAGTTAATATTCTGCAGTTCCTCTGAAGCTGTGTATAAGAGATACCTAGATGCTTTCTTTTGCAGGGAAGCAAGGCTGGTTGGAGCTGGATACCTTATTTTTCTTAATCCACATAGCGTGTGTTCATTTTAAGGAAGTGATGAATGTTAAATCGCTTAAAAAATTTGAAAAAAGCTTTAGGCTTGCAGGTATTCGCATGTGCACATGTAAGTGAAAGAAAATGTCACTGTAACTGTGTTGCTAACACTTGAAATCTCTTGGGTAACTCTTGTATATATTATTTGAAACAGATCCCTAACAGATCTGCCATTACAATAGCAGTGGTAAAAAATTCAGATCAATCCAACACCTGCACTGGAACCACTATGCTTGGATTGCCTGTTTCTATATCTGAAAACCTTACAGGACAAATCCTCCTTGAGAGGATTCTTGGACTTCATCCCATTTCTGAACAATTATAATGTTTTAAGATTTGTAGGATACATCTATATCCTTAATTTGTTTTGTTTTCAATGTAGAGTGTGGAAACAAGCTACTTCATACACTGAAGCAGCAGTCATTTTAAAAACAACAACTGTTTTTGGAATCTATTTGAATTATGGCTCATATTTTAAAGTAGTCTTAGAAATACTGCTACTTTAGCTCTTTCTTCACTGTCAGTCTCTTTCTTTTTCTGAATATATTGGTCACAGCACTTCACTTCTTAGAAACGACCTTAGAAAATACAGCCAATTCTCATTTGTCATGGCTCTGAGAAGCACTCAGTATTTCTATTTAAAAATTGTTTACTTTAAGGCTTACTGTACAGATGTAAACACTTAACATAAGAACATTTTTGCTAATAACAGTCTAGGCAATGTAGAAGACTCATTAAATCTACTTTGTAAATCTTATTAAAACCTACTCCAGAGTCTTGGATATCTAGGGTATGACTCTTGTTAGCCTGAATGAGCTCTAAACTCAGATAGATAGCAAGTATTAACCCTAAAATTACCATTTAAAAAATAAACTATGAACTTTAGTGAGTAAATATGTGGAGACCGCTCCCTGTTATGTCCAAGAAAGACCTAAAGGGCAACTGCTTCGTCAAAAAAACCACAACTTTGACCAGGTAAAGTGTGTAAGTATACACTTATTAATATTGGAAGAGTTGAAGTACCGATTGGCTTTGTAATCAGATACTGGAGAAAATATTGTTCTCCTTTACAAACCTGAAAGGAAGTTTCATTTTAAAGGTCACCAGTTTTTTCCTAAGAACTTCACATGGAAGTTCTATTTAAAGTTCTCAAAAGCAGGGAATGCAAGCATTTCTGTGGCAATTACAGGATGGAAGAACAGATATGTTTATACCAAACACATCTGTAGTTACGTTTTTCAGAATGACTGCTCTTTTGGATGGCAAGTCTGGGAAATGGTAAACATGTTATTTAGTGCTGCTAAAGAATCAAAATCTATTCTGCTATAATGGCAGCTAATGTTGGTTTTGAAAAGCTCTGACACAACACTGACCATGCAATTTGAGGCATCACCCCCCAGCTGACTCGTGAAAAAACGGCTTTCAATTGGTAAGCATGTTTGTAGGCAATAACTGTTTTAATAATTTCAAGCCAAACTTTTGGTGATTTACAAGGTTCCTAGATGATCCATTCTGACTAAGGATAGAACTACGCATCAGATGGTTTTGAAAACACTGCCTCTCTTCTCTGAAGTAGAAACATCTGAAGCAGTACAGCTGTGATGCCAGTAGGCTGGGATTTGGCCCTCTGAAAGGAAGCAAGGAGCAGTTAATCTTTCTTTTAACCTGTTCGGAAACCCCAGTGTTAGTTTACATTCTAGTCATCTTCATTCTTAATTAAAATTCTTTGAGGAAGATTGAGGAGTTGTTTTTGTAAGCACCTTACAATTTTTTTTCGATTTACCTTTTTGTGCTGATACAGCACATTATACATTACAACGCATATGCACCTGTATACATTAGATTACAAGCACTTTAAAAGTAAGGAAAGACCAGCCTGAATGTCTGCCAAGCCAGAAATGCCTTGCAGATACACCAAGGTGGAGACATATAGTTCATTATCTAATTTAAAATTCCGGAACTATCCATCTTGAAACAGTTTTATGAGCTGATTCTTGATGGATATTTTAGGTAACTTTATTTAACCAGAAAGAAAATTATTTTTAGATTTTTTGAGAAGTATTCTTGAGACTAATTAAGTCAATAGCTTAAGCAAAAAACAGAAGGGAAGAAAGAATGAATTTCTCTGAAATACACTAAAACCAGCATAAAAAAAAAAAAAAAAGATAGAAAGGTATTTGAGACTGGGGAGTCTGCAGTAGTATAGACAGAGGTATGTTATTCCTAGATCTGGTGATAGGTGAAAAAATGCCCAAAATCACATATTTATTTTATGTAAAAAAAACCCAACACATTTAATATTGTTTTATCCCCTAATGAACTGATAGTTATCTGGTTTCATGCACCTAAGAATCGTGTGCAAATATTATCATTCAAGGAAGCCTGGAAGCTGAATGAGAAATTCATACTTAGAACTGAAGAAAGAAAATATTCTCAGGTTCACATGTGATGTGAGTGAGTCTGTTTAATTTACCATCTGAAATCGGCAGTTCTCTATAAAACACTCTTAGAGAGCAAGTAACAGAAGAGATTCTGCATTTTCTATGGACCAAAGTATTAGTAGCAATTCTGAAAACAATTATATTAGTTTAACTAGTTTGCAATTAATTAGTTGTTTTATACAGTGGAAATTTCTTAGAGTCATTGCTAGAACAAAACTTTACCCAGGAAATACTACCAGAAAGAATTGAATTCAGAATGTGCTGTAAAACTGGTGCCTAAATAGATCAAATTGCCTTTGGGAGCAATTCCATCAGAACAACATTGCAGCTTCAGCCTAAGATACTGATGAAGCTCTAAGATGTTAGATCCTGTGGTTACATTATAATTGCTACATAAACGTAAAGGTTTTAAAGATGATTTATCAAATATAATTGGAGTGTTATTTGAATATTTTTTGTGTTGCTTTTCTGCCTTTATGCAATTAAATGCACATTTTCAGAAGATATGAGCTGCTTTTTATAATGAACACAATATATTTTACATTACTGCACTGCGCACTCTTTGAATCTCAGAGTATTCCTAAGAAATTAACCCCACGATACACGATCAGAATTATAGTGCCTTATTACATATTTTTTTCCCTATTATTTGGTAGTGTTGGTGTTGCTTAGTAACATAAGGAACATCAACAGATATGGTACTTATTAAGCAAAAATGAAGTTCAGAAAGAAATTCATGCTGCAGAGAGGACTAATTAAGTAAATAATGCCTTGCACTTTTGTTTGGTTTACTTTTTTAAATCCTTAGAGGAGACTGAAGAAGCTAATATACTAGCTGAAAAATTATTTTAATATTGAAGAAATGTTCTAAAGGCCCTTAACTGCTGCACTCTATTGTAAAAAAACCTTTTAAGCAGCTTATGATTTATCTTGCTTCAGGGTAAAGTACAATATCACAGGGTAAACCTAACTATATTATTATTACTAATTTATAATATTTTTAATTTCTAATAATACCTTCCACTGCCTGTAATGCTTTTCATTGGAGAATTTCACAGCACTTTGTGTTAATGGACTGTCTGCACCCTATTAAGGCACCATTCTCACCTTACAGGAAAATTGCAGCTGACCAACCTATAGACCCAGTTCAGGAGTGCAAATGTTTTGGAAAGTCAGGGTTAATGTGATCTGCTCAAGGTCACGCAACAGGTTTATAGTCCAACCAAGAATAAAACCCCCAGGGCTTCCAATTCCTGTTCCGATTCCAACTTTGTGCCATTTCATGGCAGCCACTCACATCGCCTATGGTAACTTATACTTGGGTTACATACTGAACTGAAAAGCAGATTCCCCAGCGCTTCAGCATAAGATTTGAGTATTTTGTGGAATATGGCATTTTTTTCCCATTTGCTCCCTTCCTCCCCCCTCCCCAAGCCTTCCTCCAAACTGAAACAAAGTACAAACTCAGAATTGTGTTGTTTCAAGGCATTTATGCAGAAATACTCTTGTCCATTACTGCCAATTACAACAAGGGGAGGTGATCAGAACAAGTATAACAAAGCACCAATTTTTGCCTTGGTTTTTAAAATAATATTTGTATTAAAAAGGTGTACTGCTTTTCCTGTTTATTCCTATTCCTATCAACTCATTCCAACACAGAGAGCATCCACTAAGAGTACAATTCAAAGATTTTAACGCTTACTGGCACACAAATTTGTAACAGCTCAATTCTAT